GTAACGAAGAGCTTGCCGCAACTAGAGAAAGCCTGCAGGCTGCAACGAAGACCCGACGCAGCCAAAAATAAATAAATTTATTAAAAAAAAAAAGAAATTGTTATAACATACTTGGTGGCACAAAGCCCTTTGAATTCCCAACTACCTCAACAGCACTTTATTTCTTTTTCTGTATTTTAATTTCTTTACCTGCAGAAAAAAGAAATTAAAAAAATCCCCAAACCTTTATTCTATATTACCAATGAATTTATTTTTCATTACATATATTTTCATAAAAAACATGCATAGGGCTTCCCTGGTGGCACAGTGGTTGAGAGTCCGCCTGCTGATGCAGGGGACACAGGTTCGTGCCCCGGTCCGGGAAGATCCCACGTGCCACTGAGCGGCTGGGCCCGTGAGCCATGCCGCTGAGCCTGCGCGTCCGGAGCCTGTACTCCGCAATGGGAGAGGCCACAACAGTGAGAGGCCCGCGTACCGCAAAAAAAAAAAAAAAAAAAAAAAAGCATAATTTAAAAGCTATGGTTTATAGAGTCACACTCCACCTCCTATAGGATTGAATATCTACATAAACTTTTCTATTTTATTTTTTTATTGTAGTTGATTTGCAATGTTATTTTAGTTTCAGGTGTACAGCAAAGTGATTCAGTTTTATATATATATTCTTTTTCAGATTCTTTCCCCTTATAGGTTATTACAAAATACTGAGTATAGTTCCCTGTGCTATATAGTAAGTCCTTGTTGGTTATCTATTTTATATATGTGTGTGTGTGTATGTTAATCCCAAACTCGTAATTTATCCCTCCCCTTCCCCCTTTCTCCCTTGGTAACCATAAGTTTGCTTTCTATGTCTTTGGATATATTCCTATTTTGTATATAAGTTCATTTGTATCTTTTTTTTAGACTCTGAATATAAACGATATCATATGATACTTGTCTTTCTCTGTCTGGTTTACCTTACTTAGTATAATGTCTAGGTCCATCCATGTTGCTGCAAACGGCATTATTTCATTCTTTTTTATGGCTGAGTAATATTCCACTGTATATATGCAACTACATCTTTTCCGTTCATCTGTCAATGGACATTGATGTTACTTCCATATCTTGGCTGCTGTAAATAGAGCTGCAATGAACATTGGATGCATGTATTTTTTCGAATTATGGTTTTCTCAGGTTTACACAAGGTTTTTTTTTTTAATAAGTTTATTTATTTATTTATTATTTTTGGCTGCATTGGGACTTCGTTGCTGCACGTGGGGGCTTCTCTGCTGCAGTGAAGCTACTGCAGCTCATGTGCCTAGAGCCCGTGCTCTGCAACAAGAAAAGCCACTGCAATGAGAAGCCCATGTGCCACAATGAAGAGTAGCCCCCACTTGCTGCAGCTAGAGAAAGCCTGCAGGCAACAACGAAGACCCAGTGCAGCCAAAAATTTAAAAATCAATAAATAAATAATTTTTAAAAAGAATACTTGCCTATTCTGCCCAGTTATTCATTTATTCAATATTTATTGATATCAGTATGAACTCAATAATATTTATTGTATACTTTGGGTTATAACCTAATACTGCTTTCTTTTGCTGTTCAAATTTTTACAGCTGTGGCCATTGTGGTCTTACATGTGTTTGGCAGAAAGAAAACCAAAACAAAGCAAAGAGACAAAACTGAGTGGGGGTGGGGATAAATTAGTAGTTTAAGATTAAAATATACACACTACTGTATATAAAATAGATAACAAGGACCTACTGCATAGCAGAGGTAACTATATTCTATATCTTGTAATAACTTATGATGGAAAAGAATCTGAAAAAGAATATATGTATGTATAACTGAATCACTTCTCTGTATACCCGAGATTAACACAACATTGTAAATCAGCTATACTTCAATTAAAAAAATTATAATAACTGAGTACCTACTGTGTGCAGATGCTGTCTTGAGTCCTTTTTGACCTTTAAATGTATTTTTTTGGCATTTGGTTTCCAAAGCCCCTGCACCCAGCAGGACCAAGAGTACTGGCTCTCTAACCAGATGGTGACTTTGCATGAGTTATCTAATCTCTCTCAACCCCCATTTCTTAATATGTAAAATGGGAATAATGCCTGTTTGCAGGGTTGGGGTGAAGATTAAATGTATAACTTATAAAATTAATACATGATCCACAAAGGACAAATGATTCCTATTATACAAGCCTGGAATAGTCAAAGCCATAGAGACAGAAAATAGAATGGTGGTCACCAGGGGCTGCTGAAGGGAGGAATGGGAAGTTAGTGTTTAATAGGTACAGAGTTTCAGTTCAGGATGATGAAAAAGTTCTGGAGATGGATGGTGGTGATGGTTGCACAACAGTGTGAGTCTACCTAGTGCCACTGAATTATATTTGAAAATGCTTAAAATGGTAAATTGGGCCTCTCACTATTGTGGCCTCTTCCGTTGCGGAGCACAGGCTCCGGACGCACAGGCTCAGCGGCCATGGCTCACGGGCCTAACCGCTCCGCGGCATGTGGGATCTTCCCGGACCAGGGCACAAACCCGCGTCCCCTGCATCAGCAGGCAGACTCTCAACAACTGTGCCACCAGGGAAGCCCCAATTTTGTTCTTTTAACATCACAAGTATTTTCCCATGCTATTCAAGTCAGAAAATGTTTTTATTAGCTGCCTGATATTCCACTATCATCTATTTAATCATTGTCATATTTTGAGACTTACTTTTCAACATCATAAAAAACACTATAATGAACACCTTTCTGTAATTAAATACGTCTTCATCCCCATCTTGAATACATCGTTAATATAGACACAGAAGTAGAGTTACTGGGCCAAACAGGTGAATATTTTTAAAGCATGTGATGTAAGTTGTCATACCTTTCTGAAAGTACCCCAGTTGCATTGCCGACTCTCTCGTTTGAAGGCACCCACACCGGTTGCCAATTGTCCCTTTATAAAATCCTTTCTCTGTTGGTAGATTAAATATGGTATCTTATTGTTGCAATGTTGTCTGTTAATGTTCTTTGCCTCCCCTCCCCCATGCCCTTATACTCAGTGTCTTTTAAAATCATTGTGTGAAATTTTAGTTTTAAAATTAATTCCTCCCTTCGCCTTTAATAAGGTTTCATTATTGTCATAACCTGTTGCTCTTTTTTTTTAGCACCTTTATTGGAGTCTAATTGCTTTACAATGGTGTGATGGTTTCTGCTTTATAACAAAGTGAATCAGCTATACATATACATATATCTCCATACCTCCTCCCTCTTGCGTCTCCCTCCAACCCTCCTTTTTTTTTTTTTTACACAACTTTAAAATTTTTATTTATTTATTTACTTAATTTATTTTTTTGGCTGCGTTGGGTCTTCGTTGCTGGGCGCGGGCTTTCTCTAGTTGCGACGAGCGGGGGCTCCTCTTCATTGCAGTGCACAGGCTTCTCATTGCGGTGGCTTCTCTTGTTGCGGAGCTCGGGTTCTAGGCTCACAGGTTTCGGTAATTTTGGCGTATGGGCTTCAGTAGCTGTGGCCCGCGGGATCTACAGCGCAGGCTCAGTCGCGCTCGGGCTTAGTTGTTCCGCGGCATGTGGGATCTTCTCGGGCCAGGGCTTGAACCCGTGTCCCCTGCATTGGCAGGAGGTTTTTTTTTTTTTGTGGTACACGGGCCTCTCACTGTTGTGGCTTCTCCCGTTGCGGAGCACAGGCTCCGGACACGCAGGCCCAGCGGCCATCGCTCACGGGCCCAGCCGCTCCGCGGCACGTGGGATCCTCCCAGACCAGGGCACGAACCCGCCTCCCCTGCATCGGCAGGCGGACTCTCAACCACTGCGCCACCAGGGAAGCCGGCAGGCGGATTCTTAACCATTGCTCCACCAGGGAAGCCATAACCTGTTGCTCTTAAACGGGAAAAAAATGTGGAAACATTTTAATGTCTGAAGTTCTTTAATTTTTTAAAAAAATTCCATTGCCGTAAGTCATATAAAGTTAGCTCGCGTTCTTAGACGCGGCGTCAGTGGGGCCCTGAGCAGCAGATCGTACTTAAGCGAGGGGCCCGAGTCCAGGCCGGCCGCCTTCAGGGTTCTGCCGCCGGGCTCTACTAATGAAACAGCACTCCTCCCACCCTGCCCGAACGCTGGGGACCAAGACAGCGGCGCCCCCGCGAGCCCTGCAGCCCGGCCAGGTATTCCCAGGGCACGCGCGCCATCCCGGCTCATCCAAGGCGCTTTCTGTGCCGGGCCCGGGGCTAACCAGAGGAAAATCGCACCCACCCTCGGAGAAAGCCACATCCTTTTCCAAGGCCTCCGTCGCTGGGAAGGGTGCTCTCATCTGGAGAGCTCTCTCTGCCACCTTCCACCGCCTGGATGCGTCGCTGCAGCCCCACAGCCGCTTTGAGCATCGGTTCAGCACCGCAGGCAGGGCGGGTCCACAGGCTTCAGTAACGGCCCCCCAAACCCCGCGGCCGCTTTAAAAGTCGTGGACGTGAGATTTCCCGCAAATCTGGAGACCTAGATGCAGGAATAGGTAACCCGAGGGACGCGGAGACCCCAGAGGGGCGGGAAGAAGCCAGGAATCCCTCCTCCCCAGCACCGGGCGCGGGAGGCCCCTGGGAGAGGGAGCGCCCCCGACGCCACCGCCCAAGACCCCTGCCCCCTGTGCCCCCCTCTCCAAGGCTTTCTGTGTCACTTCCCGCCGTCCCCTCCCCGAGCTTCCTCGCCCCCGCCCCTGGCGATTATGCCTGGATTTCCTTTGTTCCCTCTACACCCTTGACCAGGGCTTCCCAATTCCCCTTCTTGACCTCGTCCCCTCCCCCCAACGGCGCTCCCTCCTGGAGCTTTGCTTGTCCCCTCCTGGAGCTTCTCCGGTGCCCTCCCTACCCTCTCCCGGGTTTCCCGTGTCCCCTCCCCGCCCCGCCCCCGTTTTTAAACCTGGCGCCGAGAGCACGGGTAGGTGAGCGCCCTCGCCTGAGCGGTTAAAGGCGCGGGCAGTCGCGGGCGCCGCTGGAGGGGCGCGGGCTCCGAGGGCACCATGAGACCCGAGGCAGCGGCCGGAGCCCGGGAGGCGCGGGGACGCGTCTGTCACTGCCCCGGGGACGGTCCACGGGGACCACCACAGCCGCGCGGGCCCGAGAGGTGAGGGTGTCCCTACGGCGCGTCGGTGCGGGGAGCGCAGGCAGGATGCTCCGGCCGCGCTGAGCCCCCGAAGCCAGGCGGAGCCCTGGAGCCCGACGCGACGCAGAGAAGTTCCTTAGCCAGAGTCAGGGATGCAGAATTTTCTCGGCTCCAGAGCACAGTTCTGAAGTGCGGAGGCCCAGGAGGTGCCTGGCAATGGGCCAAAGCTTCGGTTTCTAGATCTGAAACCCACCGGGCTGGGAGTGGTGAAGTCTTCGGGGGTCCCTCAGCGAACCCGGTCGCGTCACGTTGACTGTCACATTCTTGGTGACATTGTTTGTTTGCCCTGTGCGTGGGGCTCAGCGTTCGCTGTCACGGGCACCAGTCTTTTTTAAGGTAGTAAAGTTAAAATCAGATTAGCAGGGGAGTTGTGGAAGGGGCTGGGTGGCCAGGCAGCCAGAAAGGAGAAACACATTCCCGCTTTCTGCATCGTAAAACTCTGTAGACTCGTCTCTGTGTAGTCACAAATTAATGAGCAACAAAGTAGCCAGCTACCGCGGGAAGTCTGAATGGAAGAATCCTGCCAGTCTGGGAAAAGAATTCCTCAAATAATGATGTGTATCATATTTGGGATTTCTCAAAAAGCCCAGTGAAGGCAGAGAACTGAGAATGTGGCAGGAGAAAAAAACGCAAATGGCACAGACTGAGAACTTGAGAGAACATTCTGGTGTGTCCAGTGACTCTTAGGCAGACATTAGAAATTATAAGAATGTTAACTCTTATGATCTAACTTTAAAAGCAGAAAATGCTGGAGTTCACTCTTGGTCCGTGTCCTTCCAGCCAAACACCATGGAGACCTTGGATCCTGACCCCCCAGGATGCTGACCCCACCAGAACTGGAAGCCAGGTAAGGTTAAGTGTGGGTATTGTAGGTATCAACCAGTTCAGCCAGGAAGTGGCACCATCCCTAAAATAAAGGAACCATGAAAGGCCTCCTCGGCCAGACCCTCCCTTGGTCATCTAATGCAGAGGCGCCTTGGGGTCCGGGGGGTAGGAGCCTGGCCAGCTAGGTGTTGATCATATCTGAGTCATATGCAGATTGGCTCTACTTGCTTCTCCTTTCTTGAAAAACAAAGCCACTATGGCAGAACTGTTTCAAGGGCATTATAAGACATTTCTTCCATGTTGGCTTTTTTATTCTTCTTTTATTTATTTATTTTTATTTACTGGCTGCACCTCGGGGCTTGAGGGGTCTCAGTTCCCTGACCAGGAATTGAACCCCTCTGGGGCCACGGTAGTGAAAGTGGCGAGTCTTAACCACTGGGCCACCAGTGGAATTCCCCCATGTTGGGTTTTTTCCTGCTAACCGGCAGGTAGAAGAGAGAAGTCTGTCTCGGTCCCCCTCACCTTAGAGAAAAGCTGAGTGTGGCTGGTGCCACAGAGCAAATATAGGCAGAGCCCTGTCTCGGGTGCCCAGAAGGTGTGGTTAAAAGTCCCTACCCGCCACCTGGCCCTTTCTGAAGCTCTCTGGGCCCTGTCTGCAAGCACTCCTGGGGTAAGTCATGTTGTCTGAGCAAACACACTCCAGTTGAGGGCTTTGTGGGTGAAGATTAATCACCACCACTATTCTTTTGTCTCCTGCATTGGTAACTAAATTGTTTTATACTTACTGGAGTAATGACTTAACTTTCATAGAATTTGCCTGTCCTTTGTTATATTTTAAAATATAAATTGATGACTTTTAAAATGCTGGAGTTAATTGGGCTGGGAAGGACCATTAGGTTACACCTGTGGCATTGTGCAGTTATTTTTAGTATAAGAAACTCAGGTTCAGACCTTTCATGCATTTTGAAATTTAGACTCTTTTATTAAATTAGTCTGAATAATGAGAGTTTTAATTCGGTTACTATTATTTAAAGAGTGAAGCAAATCAAATTATATTAAATTAACAAGGAATATTTTTTTAGCGCAAATTATTCTTACATACAATATCTAAATAATGGGAAGTAATTCCTTCTTTTGCATTCAAACTAAAGTTCTTAAACATAAGATTTAAAAGGTGTTTGGGAGAAAAAAATTATCCAGTTTTCTTTTAAATGAAGTGTATGTATAGCCTCTCCGTTTGCAAGAATGAAAATACAGCACACTTTCTAATGTAAGGTAGTCTTTTTTTTCCCCTATATTATGAGAAGGCCATTTGTGAGAAAAATGAAGATTACTTGTGGAAAAATGTTAAGCTATGGCAACTTTCTGTTGATCATCAGCGAGGCACAACGTATCAAGCAGTTGCGTTCATGGATTTGTTGGGGGGCTGGGGTGGAGAGTGGGTGTTCATGGGGGCAGTAGAGCTCGCTGCCCGGCTCCCCTGCTGGCCAGCTCTTTGCAGACCCCGATCTGCCGGGCAGAGCGGTCAGCAGCGGACGACTGCAGACCCGAAGTATCGCGCTCGGTTCCCCGGTTCCCCGGTTCCCCGGTTCCCCGGAGCCCCAGCCTGGGGAGGGCAGCCCGGCGCGGGAAGGGACGGCTTCTTGCTCAGCAGCGCCCTCTGCCGACAAAGCAGGAGAACTCCTCGGCTCCTGAGCTCTGTTGTGTATTTCTTGAGAAATATCGTTGGTCGGGAATGGTATGGGTGAGGGGTGAGGAATTACTGCCTCGTGACCTGTACCACGATTGCAGGCGAGCAGATCACAGTTAGAATACAATCTAGGGCTTCCCTGGTGGCGCAGTGGTTGAGAGTCCGCCTGCTGATGCAGG